GGCTGGGCGGGGTGAGGGTGGGGGGCCTCCAGCTGCTGCTCAGGGCAGCCAGCAAGCCAGCCAGACGGGGCTGGCCACTGTTACAGCATCATAAAAAGAAATTATTTTCAGAAAATATTCATAATACCCTGTTTTATGTCAGTTCTGGGCTTGCAAAATAGTGCCTATGTTTTCTTTCTTCGTATTTTCCATTTCTTCCTCCCTGATCAGTCACAAAAGAGGAATGATAAAATTTCCAACCTGAAGACACAAGCCCCCAGGCTAGGACTGGAGACTCCCAGGTTTCCCCTCCCCGTTCTCACCACCCACCTCCCCTTCCCTGAGACTCTGGAAGGGTGGGAGGGGCTGAGAGGAAGGCAGCACAGAGGTTGGGGAGCAGGGTGCAGGAGGAGATAAACGGAAGAGAAAGAAAAATACACACAAAGATGGAGTGGGGACCCAGAGAAGGAGAGCAGAGTCAACAGAGAGGCGAAGACGGAGAGACAGACAGACTGTCCTAGAGAGATGAAGAGAATGAAGGAGAGCAGCCAGGGGAGGCCTAAGTGGAGAGAGAGAAAAGCACAGATGAGAGGGGTCAAGGTAGAGGGTCAGGACCAAGGGCAGTGAGAACACAGCAGTGTCTGTCGAGAGCAAGGGCCCAGCATGAATTCACCGGGCAGGTCGGGGCCTGTGCTGAGGGGCCAGGGTGGATGGGCCGCTAGAGACAGGTCTGGGAGCAAGCAGTGTCCTCTTCCCAGGGATTCTTGAAAACATACGTTGCTTCCGAGGCCTGCCTGGCTCCCCAAATTCAGTAAGGCAGCCCCTCGCCCTTCACCCCCCACAAAGGTTCCCCAAGCTCAGCCAGGTCATAGGCTGGTGGCTAGGGGGCCTCGGCCTCACTTTCCTTATCTCTATAATGGGGATGATAGAAATACTTCTGGTGAAGCTGCAATAGGTTTTGACGAGACAGCGAATGTAAAACTCCCTGGAAAGCAAGGCCCAACACACGTGCTGTGGTGGCTGCGCAGGCGAGGCCGTGGGAACCAGCGTGCTGGGGGCCGGCGAGTGTCTCCGCCTGGCCGGGCGCAGCCTTCGAGGCCAGGGTGAGGCGCTGGAGCGGCGGGCAGGGGCAGGCCTGGACCTCCGCGCCGTGCACAAGCCGAAGTTGGTGCCTTACTAGGAGGCAATGGGAGCCCCTTAGGCCATCTGGGTGACCTGAGTATGTCACTGGAGTTCTCCTTTCCTCTGTCGCCTTGGGATTACATGAAGTGGCCCATGCTTGGTGCTGAGAGCAATGTCCACAGCCCAGAAATTAGACGATGCTGGAGTTGTGGGATCTGATGGGCCTGTGATTCCTCAGATCACCCCAGCTGCCCTGTGGAAGAGCGTTAGGGGTGGGTGCGTTCTGGCCTAAGACAGGAAGGGAGGAGGTGCCCAGGACTGAGGCTGGCTCTGGGGGGCTTCTTTTCACACTTTGGAGTCTGTGTTGAGAGGTTGGGGTGGGGGGATGTACCCACTGTCTCACAGGGATCTGAGCAGTGTGTCCTCGGGGACCTGACCAAGGAGACTTCACTGACTCTGACCTGCAGGGTGCAGGGAATGTGGCAGTGGGAGGCCGGGCTCTGACAGTGGGCCAGGGTCAGGTGTGAGGGCTGTGACCTGCAGTGAGGCGCTGGGACCTAGCCCTGCAGGTGGCAGGGACCCACCAGCAGCTTTAGAACCAAGTGCCATGATGGAGTGTAAAGCCCGATGTGAGAGCCCGTCTCTTCCTCCCACGGAGCCTCAGTGTTCCCATCAGGAGAACGGGAAAGCATAGTCTGACCCCACCGAGTACCATGAGGACATAGGGTAAGGAAGGAGGGTGTGCCTGTGCTCCGTGTCCTCCGCAACTGTGATGATGACGATGTAGATGATGAAGAAGCCCAGCCCCTCCCCCCCATGCCATGCCTGGTCCCAGCGACAGGACATGTGAAGTCACATGGTCCCCGGACTTTCCCGGCGATGCCGGTTGGGAATGGCAGGCCTGGGCAGCACCGGGAGTGCCCTGACAACAAAGTTCTCCTCCCCCATCCCCTCTTGGGCACCCACCTGAGCCAAACCCAAAAGCACACACACCAGAACCCCCCCACACACACGCACACTCCACCTCAGCAGTTTAGACATGAGGGAGCCATCTGGCAGCTGCCACCAGGGGGTAGTGCTGCTCAGGCTGTGACGTGGGGCTCTAAACAGGTGACTCGAAGGAGAGAGGCTCACTGTGGGAGCTGGAAAGGACCTGACTGGCCTTTGGGCTCCACCCTTCAGGGAACAGATAGGGGACCACCAAAGGCAAACTGCCCGAGGCATCTTGGCACACGTGAGGCAGAGGCAGAGCCCTGGTTCCCTGACTCGCAGGCCCCTCTTCTGGCCTCAATCACTGCAGCTCACCCGGACGCAGGGCATCAGGCCAGAGAGTCCAGGTCACCATAGCTTCCAAAACCGTCCCTTCCCCAAACCTGAGTGGGCAGGGGCCAAGCCCTGTGCTCAGAACTGGGCAGATGTAGATTTGTTTTTAAAAAATTCATTCATTCGCCCTGCTGGCATGGCTCAGTAGTTGAGCATCGACCTAAGATCCAGGA